TACATGCATTCACACACATGCATACACATGCATGTTTGCAGGTAGCCAAGCATACACACATTCAGCATTACAAGCACACGCGCATACAAGCATATGGGCACAGACACATACATACACACATACTTTCATGCATACATACATACACACGTTCATACAGATGTCAATTTGTTTACGTACATAAACAGAAATGTATAACTCTGGACAGTACCCCCAACATCTACTGAATGTATTATTTTCTGATGTCGTTTTGTTGTATCTCTCCCTTTCCGTCCTCACCTGGAGAGGGGAGCGAGCGGAGAGGAAGAGGAGTGACACGTACCGTGAACATACTTGAAGCCAGTCAGCGGTTTCTGTGTGGGGGAACCTCGCACATACACACCTACATACATCGATGCGTGCATGCATGCATACATACACATACATACATACATACATGCATACATACATACATACATACATACATACAAACCTATGTGCATACATACATGCATATACGCATACCTAGTTCCACACATACGTACATCCATACACACATACACACATACGCACGTACACCAATACGCACATGCACGTACACACACACATTCACACAGACCTACCTACGAACCCAATTACCTACCTACCTACCTACGTACCTACCTTCCTACCTACGCACCTACCTGCCTACCTTCGGCCCTGCCTGCCCACCTACCTACCTTTCTACCTACATACCTACATGCATACATGCATACACACTTACACGCATATACGTACCGACGTACCTGCGCATCTACCTACCTGCATCCACACATGCACACACACGGACCTACATACATACATGCATTTGTATATAGACACTCCTCCTCCTCCTCCTCCTCCTCCTATTGAAGCGCATTTTGCAGACAATCTTCTCAGGGAAAGTGCTCTTCTGCTCCTGACCCCGGCAGGGCCCCGGCAGACGCCCGCCCGCCTCCGAGCGGGCCCTGCTCCGGCCCGGCTCGCTGCCCGACCCTGCGGGCCCCCCTCCGCGGCGGCCCATCGTCCACGACGGCGTGGGCATCCTGAGGCCCGCCGTGGGCAGAAGAGAGCCCAGAGGAGTAACATAAGAAGAGAGCCCAGAAGAGGAGGAGGAGAGCCGTGAGAGGAGAGCCGTGGGCAGAGGAGAGCCCAGAGAGCCCAGAAGAGAGCCCAGAAGAGAGCCCAGAAGAGGAGGAGAACGTAAATACCGCGACCCTTCGGCCTCTGACAGGGGGTCCAGAATCGCAGGCCTGGAGGTTGACACCAACACCAATATCGGCGATGTACCTCCACCGGGGGAAGAAGGTCCCGATCTCGGTGATGGTGGTAATATTCGAAAGAGCGTGTTCTACCGCTGCTGGCGGAAAACCGGGGGGGGTCACTACCGGGGGTCCCCGGTACCAAGGTTCGAACCCCTTCCCCAGCCCCGCCCCCCCTCCGGAAAACCGGGGGGGTCACTACCGGTTCGAACCCCTCCCCCACCCCCCACCCCAGTTCATCATGAAAGGGGGGGGGGGTCACTACCGGTTCGAACCCCTCCCCCCCCCTCGAAAACCGGGGGGGGTCACTACCGGTTCGAACCCCCCCCCCCCTCGAAAACCGAGTGGGGGTGCGGACAGTGGTGGGGACGGTGTTGGTGGGGACAGTGGTGAGGGGATAGCGGGACAGTGGGACGGTGTGGGGACGGTTAGTGGTGGGGACAGTGGTGGGGACAATGGTGGGAACAGGGGGGGACAGTGGACAGTGGTGGTGACGGTGGTGGTGGGGACAGTGGTGTGGGGACAATGGGAATGAGGTGGAAACAGTGGGACAGTGGAGGGTACAATGGTGGTGGGGACAATGGTGAAGGCGGTGGCGAGGACGGCGGTGGGACAATGGGACGGAGGTACAGTGGGGACAGCTCAGTGTGACCGCGGCGGGGTCCGTGGCAGTGGACAGTGGGGGTAGTCGGGCAGTGGTTGGGGCCGTGGAGACAGTGGGGAGAGTGGTGGAACCGTGGTGGGAACAGTTCTGGGGACAGCGGGGACAGTGCGACAGTGGTGGGGCCACTGGTGGGGACAGTAGGGGCGGTGGTGGTACCAGTGGGGACAGCGGTGGTGAGGACAGTGGTGCTGGGAACACCAGTGGGGGATGTGATGCGGACGGTGGTGGGGACCGGGAGTCGTTTGCTGGCGGTGAGTAGGGGGGGGGGGGAAAGGGGAAGGGGGGGTGCGAACCGGTAGTGGCCCCCTCCAGTTTTCCGGATCCGGAGGGTAGGGGGGGGTGGGAGGTTTCGAACCGGTGTGAAACCCCCTCCGTTTTCCGATCAGGAGGGGGGGGGGAGGGGTTCGAACTGGTAGTGACCCCCCCTCGGTTGTTCGAGGCGGGAGGGGGGGGGGGGAGGGGTTAGGGAGGGGGGGTTTTGCCGTGGGAGAGGAGTGAGGGGAGGGGTACTAGCAGGAGGACAGGATGGGGGTGGGATTTTCGGAGGGGGGGGGGCGACCCCCGGGCTCCGGAGGAAAAGGTTGGCAATTTTCCACAGTAAAGCGGCGGTGGATCACGCTCTCTCTAATATTCCGGGATCCAAGGTGGCCGAAATATCACCACCAACACCGAAATCTAGGATCATCTTCCCCCTATGGAGGCAACCCCCTGTGTTGGTGTTGGTGCCTATTTCCAGGCCTCTAACAGAAGAGTCAGAGGAGGCGAACGTAAATACCGCGAGCCTTCGGCCTCTGACAGGGGGTCCGAGCAGATGATGTGGTCTGAGGGTCAGCGCCGCATCGCCGGTGCATCGTCGAGGCGGCGCGATGTGAAGCCCAGTTTCTCAACGCCGGCGTCGTATGCGTGCCCTGGGACAAAGACAGTTCTCGAAGAAGGAAAGACACCATAAACATTAACTTTTTGCGCTCCGCGCGGATTTCTTGGACCCGCGCTGGGCCCCCCCGCTGCGCCTCTGGCGCCGCCCCTGGCGCGCTCCGCGCGCCAGGGAGGGGGGTCCGGCGCAGATCCAAGAAATCCGCGCGGATCGCCAAAAGTTTATGTTCATGCTGTCTCTTCTTCTTCTATTTCTTCTGCAGTTTTTCAACTGTACCTAAGCATGATGTTTCGGGGCCTCTCGAAGATTTCTCGTGGATCGGCGTTGGGCCCTCCTGGCGGCGCCTCCGGCTCCCCCCGTGGCGCGCTCCGCGCGCCAGGAAAAGATTTCCAGGGCAGATCAGAGAGATCCGATCTGAGTTGTGATCGTTCTTTATTTATTATTTTGACGATCGGCGCGGGCCCCCCAACCCCTTCCACCCCCATGGAGTAGATCTTGGCTGTTTTTGGGACGCGTGTTTCGAGCAGGTGGAGCCTCCCCCATAATGAACGCACCGCTGCAAACAGTCGCACTGAGCAGAGGTCCAGAGCCAGACCCCCCCCCTCTCCCCCCCCTCATCCTCCCAATGTCGAAACGCCGAACACAGAAACGCTCACGCTCCGACAGTTGATGTTTACGTGGTTTGCCCTCTGAGAACAAAAGGAGGAGAGGGCACACACCGACACGGCTGACTGCCCTTCCCTCGTGTTCGCCTCGCCTCTCTGGGCCTCCCGGGAGGTCTTCGTCGGCTCGGCCGGGCTCGCTTCGGCACTCTCGCCCGAGCGCACCCTGGGAGAGGTCCGGGGAGTATCGCTCACGGGTATATGTTGGCTGCCCCGCGCGAGCGGCGCAAAAAATAACGGGGGGCCGACGGCACCGACGTTGGCGCGTACGTTGCTCGCGTAGGGTGGCGCGTGAGCGCCCTCGTTTCCAATGCAGCGCGCCGTCGAGGAGGAGGAGGAGGAGGAGGAGGAGGAGGAGGAGGAGGAGGAGGAGGAGGAGGAGGAGGAGGAGGAGGAGGAGGAGGAGGGGAGGATGGGGAGGGGGAGAAGGGGGAATAGCAGGAGGAGGAGGGAGGAGGAGGAGGAGGAGGAGGAGGCGGCGGCCCGTGTGTAGGGCCCGCCGCGTGAGGTCGCCGTGCCGTCTCGCGCAAAGCCCCCCTTGTGTGGGTCGCCGCTCCCATGGCGGGCGGCTCCCTGCTCTTCCCCCCCAGTCCCCCCCCGTGGCTTGGTATCGCTCGGACGTGTGCATTTTTCGTTCGGCGAGGACCATCGAGGAGCACCCTCGATCATTTGGCGAAAAAACCTCGCACGAAACCGAAAAAAAACACAGGACATGGACGTCCCAGCGATGGCCAGGTTCCCCCACCGTGATTCTCGGGGCGGGTGGGGCCTGCATGGAGGCGACGGGGCGGGAGGAGGCTGGGAGCGGGAGCGAGCCCGGGAGGGGAAAGCGAGGAGGGGGCGGGCCTTCTTCGGAGGGCTCGGAGGTCGCCCGGCCTGCTATAGAAGTGTGCTAAGCCTTCCCCCTGAAGACGCGGGCAGCGCGCCAGCGTGCGCGAGAGAGCTTTTGAGAAGTCCCGCCGCCCTCCGAAGAGGCCCTCCCGCCCTCGCTCGCCGCCGAGGAAAGGAGAGGAGGAGGAGGAGGAGGTCGAGGAGGAGGTGGAGGAGGAGGAGGAGGCGGAGGAGGAGGAGGAGGAGGAGAAGGAGGATCGCGCCGCTTGACGCATCAGCCCAAGGCAGTCCCAGCTGAAGGCGGGGCCGCCAGCGACTGCAGCAAAGCCTCTGCGGGACGAGGCGCGGGTGGGCAATCAATCTGTCCAAGGCGTTTGGCCGCGGCTCGGGCTGCGGCTCGGACTGCGGCTTGGGCTGCAGCTCGGGCTGCGGCTCGGGATGCAGCTCGGGCTGCGGTTGCGGGCTGGGGCTGTGGCTGCGACGGCAGCTCGGGCTGCGGCTGGTGCCAGGGGAGTTGCGTTTTCAAGTGCTCTCGATGCCGTTATTTCCCCCCGTACCCTGGCCTTGAGTGGAACAGGTCGGTAGGAAGTTGGTCGGCGTTGTCCTCCGGTTGCGCATCTGGCAAGTTTGGGCTCTGGCACACTCGATCCGAGATTCCCGTCGGGCTCTGAGTAGCTTCTTGGAGTTGTCCCCAGCATCTCAGGGCCGCCGTCATGGAGAACATGGCTGGCACTCTACCTGCTTCGGCGGCCCCGCCCTGTGGCCCTGGGCCCCGCACCTGCAAGACGCGTCCGCGTCGAGGTCTCTCTGTCAACAGCGGTGAGGAGTTGTCTGCGCAGGTGGACTCGTGGAGGTGGCTCCACGAATTCGGAACGCGTGCATCCTGATGGTGGGGCTACTTGCTTACCCAGGGCTCTGTACAGTAGGCGCGTCAAGTAAGACACCGGCCTACCGCCAGCAGGTGCTCCATGCAGTTCCTGATGCCCCGATCTGGTCATTGGTGCCCTCAGAAGCGCTGGGGCACTCCCGATCGACGGATAAAGTGTTCCAGGACTTGTGTTATGGCAACATATATTGTCGTGCGTGCCGGCTGTAGCATGCTTACCCATGGCTTTTACTCTCCATCGCCCGGGAGGTGGCCATTGTCGACGACGACGCTCCTGGGCTCTACTGCCTCACGAATGGGGCCCTCGTGACCGCGGCCGCCGCCACAGCCAGCCCGGAGGTGGCGCGCCTGGGGCAGGGCAGCACGGTGCGCGTCCTGGAGGTGCGGAGGCTGGCCGATGCGCAGCGGGTCCGAGGCCGGGGTTCGCCCAGGCGGAGGAGGCGGACGTGGGCGTGGGCGTGGAGGAGGAGGAGGAGGAGGAGGAGGCGGACGTGGGCGTGGAGGAGGAGGAGGAGGAGGAGGAGGAGGAGGTGGATGAGGAGGAGGAGGAGGAGGAGAACGGGGAGGAGAGCGGGGAGGATGGGAAGGAGAGGGACGAACGTGGTGGCAATTTTTCAACAGCAGCTCCGAGACGAGACTGACAGGTGAAGGACCGCCAGCCAAGCCTCGGCACTCGAGATGCCGAGGCACTGAGAGGCGCGGACTGGCTTACCCCTCATGTGAAGGTTGGGTTGAGCCCTCTGAAGGTTAGGTTAGGCATGTGAGGTTCGTGGATATGGATGTATGCCTCTTTCTCCTCGGCGCACCGCATGTTGGGTGCTCCATCGACACACGTCCGGTGATAGTCGCCTCAACGCATCCCGCAAGCGCCTTGGCCGAGTTGGACTGGCCAGCTGAGCTGGGAAGCAAACACGTGCCAACGTCAGCCTTGCTGTAGCTCGACCGCACTTCGTCCCAAGGCGCCCCAGCTCAACGCAGGTGTGCCTCTCTCTTGTAAGTGTCCGGCGGTGAACCGGGTTTTGGGGCCCGCTGAGGTCCGAGGGGGCGCGCAGTCTCGGTGCGCGCGGGCGCGCATAGGGCTGCCCAGGGCGAGAAGGCCAGGGCTTCGGCCAGCGCCTCCCCCCCCACCGGATAACCAGGCCTACGCTGAGCGCAAGATTGCGGAACTGGCCCAGTGCAGATACCCCCCCCCCCGACCTGGGTACACGCGAAACGACGCCCGTGACACGCCACGCGCCAAAGACACGCTAAGCGAACATGCGCCCAGCATGCTTTACATGTGCGCCTTTGCCCTCCCCTGTCCCCCCTCCCCTGCCCCGCGCGCCCCTGTCGTTTCGTCTGTCGTCCGTCGCTTCGTCGTCGTGTCGTTTCCTGTCGTTGCCACTGGGCTCCACTTGCGCTGGTGCAAAGAAAGCGTAACTCATTGTTTCAAGGTGCGCGCTAAACATTGCCAACCAACCGTACAGTCGGCCCGCATGGGAAGGACGAGCGATCTTCCAAGGTCACCCTTGCATCCTTCCCCTTCGGCCCATCCTTGGCCGCTTTTTCGCTGGCCGCTCCCCGCACGGAAAGTGTCGACGCGGCCTTCCAAGACCCTTGCATCTTCACCGTTCAGGCGGGGAAGCGACACACAGGCACAATCAATCGTCGACTCCCAAGAATATGATCAAATATGGGAAGTGGGCGGGAGGTCGACAACCCAGAGTATATATAGATATACATATATATATATATATTATAGATAAGGCAGTATTTGGAATCCTTCCTGAGATTGGTGATTATTAATTTGCGTGTCCCAGGGCCTCCTTTAGTCGTGCGTCTTTTCTCTACGGGTTCACTGCCCCACACGCAGTGTCACAATGACGAGAGTGTTTGTCGGAACCTTGCGGGCGGTCTGCCCAGGCCGTGCTCGAGGCCGCACCTGTGCACCAGACCAGAGCTCTGGCCTCTCGCCCGTGCCTCGCCGCCACGCCCGGCATTGCACTCGGGGGTGGTCAGAACCCCCAACAGTGACACGTCGATTAGTGAATTGTCCGTTTTCGGTTCTCGAGAGGGCGCCGTGGCCGTTATTTTCCAGGCTTGCGTCCGCCAGGTTTGGGCCTCAGGTCGTTTTCACTAAACCACGTTTTACTAAAGGGGAGTCTGTCCATCCCCGATGCACTGGCGCCGGCGGCTCGGACTCGCGAGCAGGAGGCGGCGGCGAAGGCTGCCGCCGGTGGTGCCACCCAAAGGCGGCGCTGCTTTTCGATCTGCCTCGTGCAGGGAACCACATGCGAGCCCTAATGCGGGATGACGATTAAAAAATTGGAGAGAACGATCAAGAAAACAGTTTTCTGCGATTTCTGCTGACTTTTCTGACTGGAGAAGAACGATTTAAAAAATTGTTTTCCAGCCCGCGGCCGGTTTTTTCTAGTCTTCATCCCGGGCGCCGCCGCGTGAACACGACCCCCGGTCATTTATTAATCGTCATCCTCCATCACCCCTACCACCCACGATTTCTGAGGGGGGGGTGGGGTTCACTTCGCTCGGGAGCTCCCGAACGAAGTGAACCCCACCCTCCCCCTCAGGAATCGTGGGGCGTAGGGGTAGGGTTCGCATGTACCTCCCTATCGTGGGCCTTCGAGGAAACACCACAGACAAGGCAGACACGATCTCCTGCGCAGCTGGTGTATCGCACGAGGGTGAGCCAGGCGGCCGCTGCCACCGCCAGCAGGCCTGGCTCCGGCGGGGTGTCGAGACTCCGATAGAGGGCAGCACCCGCGGCCTTGCGAGGCAGGCGGGGCAGAGCGCTGCCCGTGCTGCCCTCGCGTGGTGGCTGGTCCTCGCCACCGTCGGCGGCAGCATCAGGATACAACCGTGCTGCGTGGGAGTCAGGGGAGGAATAGGTACCGATACCGGTACCGGTACTTCTCCCTGCCTCGCGTTCCCCCTTTTTGGGCCTCCCATGGGAGGACCTCGTCGCCACCGCTGGATTCGCCTGAAAATCCCGGTCAGAACGCCCCCAGGGAGAGGTCCAGGGAGTACGGGTATCGGTACCTCTAAAACGACGCGAAGATCGGGACAAAATCGGATCGGGATAACCCGAAATCTCTGAGAATCGGCGGGTTTGGAGGATGTATTGGGCGCCGCGGCCGCTCCAGAGCGTTCCGGAACGCTCTGAGAGCGCTCCGGAACGCTTTGGAGCGATTTATCCCGATCCTAGCCCTGTTTCAACCTCCTGGTGTCCCAAAATACGGCCGGTAAGATTTGTTGGTGGCATTTTGTGCCGCCTCACCCCTGCGAGCTGCGCCTCCATCGCAGATGCACGAGGCCGCCCCGCACCCAGTGCGGAGCTTGCGGCGGATTCGGCGGAGATGCCCACTGCCTTTCGGGGAGATCGGAGAGCGTTCTTCGATCAGGTGCTTGGTGTCGATACTGGCTGTTCGACCGCACCTCGAGCAGAGATACAGCTGAAAGCGCGAGCAGAACTGCAACGTGCGGGGTCTACGCAACAAGACCCTGGACCCACCCAAGTCCGCCCGCTCGCATCCCGAACCCCATAATCATCATCATCATCATCATCATCATCATCATCATCATCATCATCATCATCATCATCATCATCATCATCATCATCATCATCATCCTTGGCTGGGGCGCCTGCCGCAGGTGCATCCCAACTCTTACATGTGGGATCCCATTCCTGTCTAATGTTGTTGCCACCTACAACGTGGTTGCACATAGCGCAAAAACATGTTGGCAGGCCTTGACACAACGATTTCTAGTACTTGCAATGGCACCCGCACTTCGATTTTCTTGGGCACACGACCAATTTCACTATATTGACTCCGTCGAGATCCAGTTTTCGCATAAATGGGAGGAGCGCCATCGCCAACTTACACATTGCTTTGGCAATGTTGATGCATCTCTGGAGCGTATGCCCTTCACTCTTACCAAGTCGGATGCATTGCAGCACCGGCCTGTGCAGCAAGCTCGGCCAGACTGGCGCCTTGTCTGAGCCAACGCTTTTGTCCCTACAATGTCCACCCCATCCCCACGATGGCCCCAGGACCACAACACAAGTGAGCCTGGAGAGCCCAAGGCAAAGCACACCACATGCAAGCGTAAGCCCCAGCAGGCAGGCCCTCCGCGACCCCTAGGCTCCACACCCGAGAACCACTGTGGCCCCGGCCTCTGGGACACATCGACACGTCAGCTTCCAGCTGGCAGTCCAGCAAGGCCTAGAAGGGCTCAGAAGCCAGGCGTCAAGCCTCCTTCTGTCAGGCCCTGGCGGCCCAAGCTGGACCCGCTGTTCGGATGACTCGGTGATGATAGCCCCCTGATGGCGCCGCTGCGTGCCCGCACATCCAGCAGAGGGCTCGTGAGGTGACCGCCCCCAAGTTCTGAGGTGCTGGCTTGCAGAACGCGGGCAGCTCTTGTACGAACGCCGTTGCTAGCGCTGGCGGCTGCTGGGGATCCACCCCCGCGGCATGCCTGCGCGCCGCGGGCAGTGCCTCCAGCACCTCCCGCTGCGGCTGGAATTCCTTGCCGTTCGCGCAGGCTCGACGGTGTGCCCATGCCCTAGTTCGATTGTTGGGCCTTGACGACTTGGGCTTGTGCAAACCCACTGACTCCAAGAGCTCTTCCAATTACGTAACGAGTTTCGTCGTTGAGTCCCCGTTTGTTGCGCCAGCTAATTGCGTCGTAAAGTCTCCGTGTTATCGTTGAGTTTTTGAATGGGTTGTGGAAGCCCGATGCTGCACTTTGGTGGGCGTGTCCAACTTGTCGAGTTTGTTAAGTTGCCTCCAGTACTTGAGAGCTGCATCCTTACTGTTTGCCTTCGTAGCCAAGGAAACGAGCCGGGCCACCCCATCTTTGGACAACCGATGCTTCTCAAACCGAATCTGGGAGTGGGGCCTCATTTCGGCCTATCCCTGCACCTGGTGACAGCCTCGGGAACTGGGCCGCCAGGGCGAACACCACGAGGCCGAAGAGCAGAACGAGCAACGCCTTGAACGTGAGTCTGCGCCTCCACTCTCGAGCCTCGTGTTTCGATCCTTTGGCGCTTATCGGTCTTTACCCGCCCCACTACACTACCCACAGGTTGCGGTGCGCATCGTGCGCTTTGGGGGGGCTTGGACCCCCCCCCCCTCAGCACGCGCAGACGATCTGTCCATCGCAGCGCACCCCCCCCCCCCCCCCCGATGACCGATACGCGGCAATGGTGTGAAAGACTATGCCTTCCCCCCCGTAATCAGAGCAGTAAGTAGTAGTAGTAGTAGTAGTAGTAGTAGTAGTAGTAGTAGTAGTAGTAGTAGTAGTAGTAGTAGTAGTAGTAGTAGTAGTAGTAGTAGTAGTAGTAGTAGTAGTAGTATAAGTAGTAGTAGTAGTAGTAGTAGTAGTAGTAGTAGTAGTAGTAGTCGTAGTAGTAGTAGT